TGACTCTACTCTGTTGGACCCTTGAGTAAGGCAGGGAAAATTTGGGGGTTGGTGGCAGGATTGGTACTCCAGCCACTGGAAGAAACTCACACTGTTCCAGAGGACGAGTTTGGTGCTGAGGTAGCACCTGCTGCACTCAGGTTCTCATCCCTGAGGTGGTTTGTTGTGTGTGTGCTGTAATCAGCACATGCTCCTTACCACCACTAGTGTGGATTTCAACCACACCGCAGCACCAATACTGCACTTGTCCTAAATGACACACATCTAAGCAGTGATGAATCAAAATTCACAGTTTTGGTATTACTGGATGTCAGTGCTGCTAGACAGACTAGAAAAATGAGTGGGACCATGTTAAAGTGGTTTGAATCATATTTACAAGATAGGGACATATTTACAAGATTGTGTCAATAGGTAATTATGAATCTGAGCAAACAAAAATCACATGTGGAGTTCCTCAAGTATCCATTCTTGGGCCTCTACTATTTAACATCTGCATGCTCCCCCTTGCCACATTATGAAACATTATAACATCTCTTACCATAATTATACAGATGACACACAATTCTACATCACAGTGTCACCATGTGATTATAGTCCCTTAGATTCACTGAATACGTGTATTGAACAATTCAATGAATGGATGTACCAGAATTTTCTACAACTGAATACAGAGAAAACTAAAATAATTTTTCTTAGCCCCAAAAAAGAAAGACTGAAAGCCATTGCTCACCTTGAATCAATGACACTGAAACCTACAAATCAAGCCAGAAAACAGTGTAGACTTTTAGTTCTGGATTCCAACCTTAATTTCAACAACCACATAAACACAATTACAAAATCAGCCTACTACCACCTTAAAAACACTGCAAGGATTAAAGAATTCCTGAATTAAAGGATTTCAAAACAAGATACAGAAAAGCTTGTTCATGCATTTATTTTTATCAGACTAGATTATTGTTACAGTGTCTTCACAGATCTTGCCAAAAAATCAATCAGACAGCTGCAGCTGCAGCTCATCCAGAATGCTGCCGCCAGCATCCTTACTGCACTTAATTCACTGCATTGGCTTCCTGTGCATCACAGGACTGTATTTAAAATATTATAACTTGTGTAAAAAGCACTAAATGGTCTCGGGCCCAGATATATTTCTGATTAACATTATGAAGCATCCAGACCCCTGAAGTCATCTGGGGAAGGTTTACTCAGCGTTCCCAGAATCAACACCAAGCAAGGTGAAGCTACATAGCTGGCATCAAATTGGGTGTTCCAGCCCTGTATGCCCTGTGATTCACTGGCATCAAATTGGGTGTTCCAGCCCTGTATGCCCTGTGATACACTGGCATCAAATTGGGTGTTCCAGCCCTGTATGCCCTATGATACACTGGCATCAAATTGGGTACTCCAGCCCTGTATGCCCTGTGATTCACTGGCATCAAATTGGGTGTTCCAGCCCAGTATGTCCTGTGATACACTGGCATCAAATCGGGTGTTCCCCAGCATTGTGCCCTCTGCTGCCCCACCCATGAGCCTGAGTGGGATAAGAGGATAGCTGGAATTCAAAGTTGCTTATTTTTAAGCTATTGTTGCTGCATAGGTGGTGAATTTAACCTTTGCATCTGAACTCTTGCATAGAGTCACGTTCTATGTAGAAATAGGGCTTCAGGCAGCGGTGTAGCAGGATGGATCGCAGTCCTCTGTGAGCACAGTCTTCCCCCCCGACTCCCCCAGACATTCTCTATGCCTGCCACAGCCTACCTGGCCTTCTTATATGTCTGAGCCATCTCTGGATGCAGTCTGGAGACGCTTCCAAAATACAGGCAAACACTGCATATGTCAGGCACGCCGAGGCCGTTATCAGCCGCTGGGACGCCAGAGTGCAAACACAAGCAGCCAGCGCCCTGGAAAAGCACCCGAACCCACACTCTCTGTCTGATTTTGTCTCACACAGTCATACTCAATGGGCCTTTATATTCTTTGATGGTGACGACCATCTAAAGTGCAAGATGTCTGACACTATATCTTAAGTCAGAAAAACACTCCCTTTGGGAGTGCTTTGGGATTCAGCACGATGCTCAGTCATGTTAGGCTTCAGCATATCGAAATGGAGTCCATAGAACAGAGGTATTACAACAAGACAAGCTACGACTGATGTAAATTTAGGGAAATGAGAGGTTCTAGTGTGAAAAAGCAGTATTAAGCAAAGAGCTGGATTCTTTTCTCATCCAATTAATATGTATGTGTGTGTGTGTGTGTGTGTGTGTCCGAACCCGGCCCCTGGAGCATCCTCCCCCTCCATCCAGAACTGTGTTTACTCTCACCGGAATTCCAGTTCCGGTCGCCGGCACAGATCCAACACCCTCCTGCATGCAGGTCACACACACACGCACACACACACACGAGTGCGCGCACACTGAAACCCCCTCAGGACTGTGGCTGCTTTGACCGGAAGCCACTCCCCTCCAGAATGGTGCTGTTTTTAGGAATCTAAGCTATCGAAATCTTCAGTCACCGTAGGAGGCCAACAGAAAAAAAAATAAAAACACACAGAGCAAGGAGTGAATTCAGTTCCTGTATGATAGTCAGGCTGAAATCACTTTGGGAGCTCGAGAAGGAACTTCAGCTGTTACAATACAGCTTTCATACTTTTATATTTTTATACTATGCAACTGTGAACCTAAAGTAGCTTAATAGTCAGTAAGAAAAAAAATACCTGGGTCATTATGGACACTTGTTTCAAAAATGACTAACTACCTACTGTATGTCCACCATAAACTCGCGCTTTCAAGGGCTTCCCAGCCATTAAGGCTCGTGACACCCTTTGGCTAAAAAGCAGAGTCTAGCTATTTTACAGAGACAAGCATACTTTTAACTGCAGCACTGCTTAATGCATAAGGACAGCAGCAGCTGAGCTGGGCACATCCTTTCAAAAGAGCCCAACGACATTTTGCAATTTGTGACAAAAAACTAAACAACAGGATATTACTCACTAGTGCAACAGTGCGAGATGCAAGTAGCGACATGTCTGCTGCCAACATTAAGAAACAATAAAAAAATGTAAGGAGGCAAAAGTGATGGTATCTCACAGCAGGCAAGGGGGAGGGAGGGATCCCATTCCTGAGCTGCACATACAAGCTATACGTTCATGTTTTGTCCCCCTTCCCTGCAAAACAATGTTTTTCCCAGCAAAGTGCCTCCCCTCAAGTCTCTAAGGTAATGAAGACTGACAGCAAAACAATAGTTATATTTTAACAAATCACTACAATTTCAAGGACATGTGCTAAAAAGCCCCATCCTCAGCCTTCTAAAAACAAGGACACTCAAAAATTTACTGTATAATAGCTATAACCTACCAAGGACTAATTTATGCAAGAATTGACTAAAGTAGTGCAAATCTAAGCACATAAACACCTGACCTGGACAGTCCAGAGAGACCTTAAGGCAGACAGGGAGGATTTTGCCCCCTAGTCACAGCTAGTTACACAGTATCCATCACTGGCTGACATCACTGCAGCTCTACCAGTTACTTCAGTTTTGTATAAAGGACGTCTGCTTTACCATTTACAACTAGAACTGGCATTTCAAAGCTATATCAATATTCATTTGAACAGCGCAGACTGTAATTATGACAGTTCCACACAAATGTATGCAATTGGATATATAATATACATGAGATATACAGCTCTGGAAAAAAATAATAGAGCACTCTATATTTTTTTAATTTCTCAGACCTCAGTACATGAGAACAATGTGAAGCAGGAGACACTGGGAATAACCAATAACCAGCCAGGAAAAGGGCAGAAGCGACTTTCTAATGCCAGAGACGACCATTAACTTATCTGACAGTTCCTTATGAATTGTAGGAACATATCCAATAGAAATGGGAAACATTAAGTGCAGGTGTGAAGTGCACTGCTAGGACAGTTTGTATCAGGCTCCTAGAAGCAGGACTGAAATCCCATAAAGCGAGGAAGAAGCGCTTCATTAATGAGAAACAGAGAAGAACCAGGCTGCAGTTTGCAAAAGAAAATGTATTATTCCAAGACGCACACGCATAAATTGAGAAATAAGTGAAACTAAAAATGGTCTCATTTTTTTCCAGACCTGTGGTTTCTTATTTTTTTCCAGAGCTGTATATCGTCTTTGGTCCAGCTGTGGTTCCTCGGTGAGCCAGGCCTTTATCTGTGCGCTGTCAGCCTCTGGAAGCCCCAGTTCCCTGTATGCTGAAGGTGGGTGCCCTTTGCAGTGATTTGTGTGTGTGTGTGTGTGTGTGTACTATGTTTATATTATAGTGTGTTACAATCTTCCCAAAAATGTAATAAAAACCTGTTATTTTCACATTGTAGGGTACATTTCTCAGGTCCCCACAAAGATCTGTGAATGCAATCAAAAAACTAAAAATGGCAATAGTTTCATTATTTGTTTGGTTACTTACAGTTAAGGTTAGGGCTGGGTAGGGGTTAAGGTTGTTACTTTGGGATTAAAGTTTTCCCCATGGAAATGAATGGAGAGTCCCCACAAAGATATAAGTACAAACCTCTGTATGTGCGTGCGTGTGTGTGTGTGTGTGTGTGTGTGTGTGTGTGTGTCTGTCACATAGAGAGCAGGTTTGGGGATCAATAAAGTATCATTCTATGCTAAAGACCCATAAATACCTGAAGCAAGCAGATCCAGTGCGATTTAATGGCGTACATTCACGCACAACGCCTTCAATTCACAGACATATAGCCAAACATTCACCATCAAACATACAGAACAGAAATAACATGTCGCACACCCAAAAAATGACTCAATCATACCTATTCAAAAAGCCTTCTTAAACCTTTTAGCTTCCTTACAGAACTAATTTAATTATGAATATGACTTTTGACAGCCTGTCATAATACCTGTAATACTGGACTCTAGAATTCAGTGTAAATTCATACATACGCATACAGAAAAGCAGAACGCCATGCAAGGCCCCTGATTTAATCATTAATTACAATTCCCCCTGCCCAGCTTACTGTTGTTGGACTTGAGGTCGCGGTGGATCACCGGCACTATGGTCTCGCTGTGCAGGTAGAGCATGCCCCGGGCGATCTGCACTGCCCAGTTCACCAGCACGTGTGGGGGGATGCGCCGGCCGGCCAGGGCCCGGCTCAGGGGGCCACCAGAAGCATACTCCATGATCAGGCACAGGTTGGGCTCCTGCAAGCACACCCCCTTGAGGGTGATGATGTTGGGGTGGGTGAGCATGGCGAAGAGCCGGGCCTCTTGCCGCACGTTCTGGGCCGTGACGCTGATGTCCTCGTCCGGGTCCTGGCGAGCTGCCTTCACTGCCACCAGGCCACCTCTCCAGGTGCCGCGGTACACTTTGCCGAAGCCACCCACCCCGATCACCTCCTCCAAGCACAGCTCACTGAAATCGACCTCATCCGGCTCCAAATGGCCCACCACGGCCGGGCTTAGCTCTCCCACCACAGCGGGGCCGGCCCGTTTCCCGTACGTGCTCGGCTTCAGCGACACATAATTGGATGGAAATATGCCCACTTTATTGTTCACCTTCCCTGCCCACCACCCTTCATCCCCCGAGACCTCAGAGTCCAGAGACAGCACCTCCACCAGGTCGCCCTTGCGCAGCGTCAGCTCGTCCTTGCCGGCGGCCTCATAATCAAACAGGGCTGTCCACACTGGGTTGGTGAAGCTGCCCTGCTCAGACTGCTCCACACCTTTCCAGTGTGACAGTGGGCGCCGGACGAAAATGTTCTTCAGTGGCTCCATTGTACGTAGTTATGGGATCCGAAAGGCACTATATGATAATATAGTACATGAAGCACCATCCAGTACCCCGTCCCTTTCAGCAAGAGTAGTTATGAGATCCAAAAGGCTCTATACTAGAATATGGTACATGAAGCACCATTCAGTACCACGTCCCTTTCCACGTCACTTAACGTGCCCATCAGGGACGTATAAATGAGCATTTAATGAAAAAAAAGCATGTCAGACTCAGACTCAGAGAACTGAACGCGCACGTTTAGATACCACATAGCATTTGTCAAGAGAAAGTAACACATAAAAACGAACGTGGCAGCGCATAAACACAGATATTTAGTAAATCTCCTGACACGGTTTAAATGGCATCATAATTTACACACTAAATGTTCTTTCGAGAAACATCCTTTGCGCTGAATTACATAATTTTAAATTGACAATTAGTCTACAGTCGCGACTGAAACCGAGAATATCGATACTACAACATTTCTTTCTGGAGGGTTTCACTGCACCACCCCAAATCCTAACCAAGAAAAATAAGTCACTTATAGTAAGCCCATGAAAACAACCCAATGTGAGTCTTTGGAGCTGCCGCTGTCGCTGTATTTTTAGCCGTTCGGTACCGCGGTCATCACAAGCAGGAAGTGCAAAGAAGTGGAGAAGAATAGCAGGAAAAGAGTATTCAGCCCAGCCGTAACCGTGACTCTTCTCCTTAGGTCCACAAACTGAAGATTGATGCGTATTTCCCATTAAAAGATTCCGCATCCAGGGTAATATTACTAAAACGCGTTCCTTTGCTCCCGTCGATAAGCAGCAGTAGTTTTTCTATGCTAGAAGTTTCACATCTTTCCATAAATAAGTAGATTATAGATTCAGTTTTAAACAGGAAGAACTAGGTTTCCCCGCTCTGTGATTTTATCGGTGAAAATCGATTTCGTCCCTTTGGTCCACAGCTCACTCGGCACTTGACGCTTGAGTCTTCATTTTATAAGTATCCCGAAATCGCGACAGCACCATCCCCTACGCCGCCGATACAACGCCTCTCGCCGTCCCCTCCTGCCCCGTCCACATCTCGAACCACTCTACGTCCGCGCTTACACTCAAATGGGGGTTGGGCTTTACTAACTTTACTTTTTTTTCCAACAGGAAAAGAATCAAATGACAAGCTTCAAGAGGAGCGTCTATTCCATGTCTCTGCAAAGGCCAGCTGACGCGCAAAATTCGCGGAAATAATTCGAGCAAAAGCGAAACACCGTGCTACAGCACAATAGTGACACGACTGTCGCGAAATGACAGAATACATGTATATAGCAACAACAGTATATGTAAACGCGGGTATCATTCTTTTTATATATTATATTAGCATATTATTTTTTCATATAAAGTCAAATTTAGTTGTTTTGATGATATTTTACTGTAAATACTCAGAACACTTGGTCATCGTTTGTTACTGTCGATTGTGTGGTTTCTGAACAGAAATTTAAAAGACATACTTCGAAAGTTATTTTTAAAATACATTTCACACATAAGTTTTAACGTCTTTTTCAACACTATTGAAAAGCAGGTAAAGCGCTAGGCTTCGATTCGCTATAGCTCCCGTTGTCCACCAGGAGTCAGTGTTCTCATTTTACCACAGTTTTGTTTAATACAGTCTCACGTAGTCTGTTTTGAATATTACAACACTTTGAACACCTTACTCTTCAGTGAGGGTGAGAAAATGCCTTTTTATATTCCATCTACAGGCATACTCTTATATTGGCCCATGTCCCACTCCCCCCCCCCTCCAGTCTCAGTACAGCATATTGCTGACTCATCTATTCTACAGGAAGGATGCAGTTGTTTTTGTTTTCTACGCAGCTGAGCCAAGGCCCCTTTGTTCAGAAACTTTGAGGTTCGGCTACAGTTGAGAGGCGGTGTCGATAGGAAAAGCAAAAGTTTCCATTCACACTAAAAGTAGCTATTTGAAAATTTCTTCAATGAGAGATAATTAGCCTTCACTAACATGTAGGATCAATTCGAGACAAGTTTGCACACACATGCATATGCCTTTACATGTATGTAACAGTTTATTTACATTGTAAATGTTCTGTAGGGTTTTGAAAGTACCCCAACGCTTCTGGTGTAGGTAATTTTAGGTTTATAATGAAAAATAGATTTTGTGTCTCTCGTGTGAGCGTGACAATCTAAAAGTGTGAGTGGCACGGCAGATGCATGAGAGTTGGCAACCCTGCATGTACTATGATCTGAAGCAGTTAAGATGTGATGGGCAGTTCACAAACAAGCCTGGTCATGTACCTTAATGAGCACAAACATCTGTGTTATGCTAAATATGATATTGTGTTGAACTTGTTTGGTAATAATGATTTAGAGTCAAATATCTTATGAATGGTGAGACATTTGTTAGACTACTCCCTGTATTTGCAGGCAGCATGAAACACAGAGTATTACCATGATACCGCCATGTAGAAAAGGCTGCTATTAAGTGCTAGGTCTATATTTTATGATGCAATAGGAGTGTTTTGATGGATTAAATAATGCCTTAATCATTTTTGAGAAATACTTGACATGGTGCATAATAAGACTTTTCAACTGAGCAACAACAAATAAATAATATTGCAAGATCCATTCACGTGTGGAATTATTTGCTATTCATATTATGTATACTGGATATTATTATGTAGCTAGAATGGTTGTTCTTGTCAAAAGGAGGATCCCTCCTTTTAACTTTTTTTGATCCTAAAAGCTTTTTTTTTACCATTTTGATTACATGTATTTCTGTTGTTGAAAAAAAAGAAAAGAATTATGCTTACTTATTTCTCGCAGAAAATCAGATTACAAAGTACCTTGTTATTACACTTGACTACTGCTACATGTTAGATCTTTACCTCCAACAGAGCAGTTATTAGCGCAAAGACAAGCTAGTGGGCTTTCTACTGAACACAGAAGTGAATGAGTGTCTCCACATTTCACCTCCAGCTGCAATGTTTACTGCTGCTTCTGCACCAGCGATCCACGACTCTGCAAGCTAGTTAATGCCAAACGCTATGATCTCAGCAGGCAGAACACATTTGATGAGGAAATGGCTAAGATGGTAGCCAGTCAGGAAGACTGCATCATGGCGACATTAGTTCCTACTGAGAGGATCTTCTCAAAAACAGGGCAAATTATTACAGGGAGGAGAAATGGGACCAGCCCCTCAGTAGTGAGGCAGTTTGTGTTTATCAATGCAACACTGTTATAAGTGGAATTATGGTAATAATTTTAGTTTGTATCTGTTATTATAATTATGACCCAAGTATGTTGTGTACATTATTGTTCAATACATATACATTGTGTGTGTGCACATGTGTGTGTTAATTTGCTGAATAGAATATAGAATTTGTAACCAAAAACAAGAGTGTTGATTTACACTATATGCACAACAGTTTTGGGACACCTGGCTACTGCACATACTGTACGGGAACTTTTATGAGATCCCATTTGAAATCCATGGGCATCAGTATATAATTGGTCCCCCCTTTGCAGTTATCACAGCTGCCACTCTTCTGGGAAGACTTTCCACAAGATTTTGGAGTGTGTCTGTGGGAATTTTTGCCCATTTATCCAGAAGAGCATTTGTGAGGTCAGGCACTGATGTTGGACGCAAAGGCCTCAAAATCTCCATTCTAGTTCATCTGAAAGGTGTTTTATGGGTTTAATGCCAGAGGAAGTTTGGAACTCTGTAGTTACTGAGTCAACAAAATGTTGGTGACTTTTACGCACTATGCTCCCTCACACTTGGTGACCCGCTCAATTACATTATGCAGTCTGCCACTTTGTGGTTGAGTTTCTGTCATTCCTAAACGCTTCCGCTTTGTAATAATACACTTAACTGTTGACCGTGGAATACCTAGCAGGAAACAGATTTTACAAACGTACTTATTTAAAAGGTGGCATACTATGACCCTACCACGCCTGAATTCACTGAGCTCATCAGAATGACCCATTCTTTCACAAATGTTTGTAAACCTGACTGCATAGCCAGGTGCTTGATTTTATATACCTGTGGCAATGGGTCTGAATGAAACAGCTGAAATCAATGATTAAGAGATGTGTCCCAATGCTTTTCTTCATACCATGTATGTCTTATGAGTTCAGCTGAATGACTTGACTCACTGAACAGAGCTGAAATGCACATCACTATTAGAAATTGACAACAGTCTTAAGCAAGGGTTCCTGGCATTAGATAACTCATAGACAGAGTAAGCTGAAATGACAGGCTAAGGACATTTTCTTCTGGGTTGGGGAAGGCATGTCATGACAGTCCATCACATAACACTTTCTCTGTTAAACAGGAACACACAAAATTGACCTCAAGAATAGGCTTTCTAATTTAAGGAAATCAATGATCATTTGTGATTATATCCCTTATAAATCAGGACATTATCACACTCAGATAGTCCTGATTGTTTTTTTTAATAGATTAAAGCTGCAACATAGCTGCTCCTACAAATATTAATTTACAATTAAAATTATAATTACAGATTTCAGCATGAATTTACAGTATACAAACCAGTCAGGGTTATTCTTTGGACATGAACGACAATCACAACCTTTTCATATCAGAGTTATTGTTAGCTTACATAGGCTCTCCCCTACCACATGTAACATGGATAATTCGTAGAAACATATTTCTGAGCTTGGGGGGGAAAAAAAAAAAGATTTAGCTGAAATCAATATTTTCTTTGTGCATACATCCCAAACTTATATTTAAATAATCTCTTTATTTCACTCTTACAAAAAAGTTAAAATCTAACATCTGTTTTCTCTGTTTTAAACATTTAAGCAGAAAAACGAATATTATTTGAGAGGAACTCTTTCTCACTCGAACCAAAAATATTAAAACCACATAAAAGAAACAGAAGATTAACCCAGTGAAGAGTTAATGTGACAAGTTGCGAAAGCTGCCCTCTTTAACTCCTAATTCCCCACCTCAACAGTGTCAGGGAGAGCAGCTAATGGACCCGGGCATGTCAGAACTTCTACTGCCCTGAAACCTCAGGAAGGGCATAAGTTAGCAGGCCTGGCCAGGGGCAGGATAGGGCTCTGTGATGCTGAAGTCGAGGGGAGAGAGGACACAGTCTTACACAGTATTACTACTAATTGATAAAGTATACCAGAATACATGCATGACATATGCACATCATTTCATCTTTCGAATTCCCAACAGATTATCTGTTACTGCACTATGTAAGATCACCGTAGCACAAACAGAAAAATAAGTCCTGTCGAAATACGCAATAAACTGCCACCACCTAAAACAGGTGGCAAATTTTTAAAAAGGTGACTGTTCTTGTAAATGTAATGATAATCAAAAAACCTTTCTATTGAAACAATGAATTTGATGCGTCTCCCAGGAGCGCAGATTTCCAAACAGACACAGTGACAGAGGTCACTGGTGAAGGGGGACCTTAGGACCACGCTACCAAAGAAATTCTCCATCACTGATACTACCCTTCAGCACTGAGACGGGTTCAAACTGGCCACCTGACATGAAGGGGGGCACCAGCAGGGCATCTCTTCATAACAGAGAGTTTATAATCTGCAGTCCCACCCTCAACAACATAAGAATCAGAACAACATTCTTTGGTATGGCCACTTTGCACACATCCACCCCAGGTTGCTCTCTTCATCATCGATTCAGCTGGACTCTCTCACTTGTGCCTCAATGTCCCTGCACTGCTAACCTATGTGTCACAGCTTGTCCCAGCATTCTTTTCACAAACAGCGTAACCTTACACCTTTTTAGCAAGTGCCTCTTGCAGAATCGCATCAGCTGCTAAAGGACTCTAATGTTCCAGTCAACTTGGAGGGACACAACATCCTTGAGGTGAGTCAAACCATCAAGGCGGATGGTACCTCAAGCCAATCCTTGGGGTTCTTGACTCAGGCCTTCTGCTTTACACAGGCTATTCCAACTGGAAGTAAAACCCATTTTTCAGCAATAAAATATATTTTTTAAAAATGATAAAAATACATACTATGGAAACTATTATTCATCAGCACAGAGGACAGGGCCATGCTGTCTCCCGGCCGGTAGGGCTCTCACTCTACAGGGTACTGGCTCCTTACAAAACCTAGTGTAGTATAATTAAAACAAACACAATAAAACAGGAACAGGAGGCAGAGGCAGCTAGCAATCATAGTCTTCATCATCATCATCATCATCACCATTCCCGTGGCATGCAGGCAGGACGGGCACAGCATGCAATAATGATGAGTTCATGGGGGTAAAGTTCCCCAGGGGCAGAGCCAGGCCTTGAGCTGCCCTCATGTGGTCATACTGAGTCACTGCATTGGGGCCAACGCTGGAGCTGGAGAAAAGGGAAAGCAGAGGAGGGTTAGCAGGTGCAGCACCAGCCGGGGCTCAGCTCCTTCACATGAACACACCTGTTAAAATGGGAGGCAGTTTGCAGGTTTGTGCTTGACTGGGATCCTTCCTCTTCCTCATCCTCTTCTGTCTCACTTTCCTCTGAGTCATCCTAGAGAAAAGAGACACATTCTGTTTCTATTCTGACCAATCACAACCATCTCGCCCCATCTATCCAACCTATGCCTACCAATCATTCTGCAGCCATTCTTATCCCAGTGAGTGATACAGGATCATTACCAAGATCAGCCACAGGATTCATGCCCACCTCTTGCTCGGACTCCGTTCCCGACTGTTTCTTCTCCTTGCCTTTGGTGCTAACACCTCCATTCTTCCGGCCAGAAACAGGCTTTCCACCCCTACAGAAGGGAAAAGGGACCTTCATATCACCCCCACCAAAGCAACAGAAAGTCACATCATCAACAATCTCCATTAAGCTCCTTGGTCAACAACAAAACAGCAGAACACTTCCTGGAACGTGAATCTGCCTTCAGGTGATTAGCCCAGTTAGCCTCCCCAGCGCTGCCTCACCTGCGGGACACCCTGTCCCCCCCTTCTGTGTGGCTGTCCTCCATGTCTCCCTGTACATCTGGCATGGCTGCAACCAAGTCCTTGAGGAAGTCAAACTGCTGCTCCAGCTCGATACACTGCTTTCTGCAAACAGGAGTAGACACAGCACTCTGGGGATACCACACCAGTGCCAAGCTGTAGAACGTCATGTTTTGACATAAAGCATTATTTAAACTGCTATTTGTTAAGGCTGTTAAGGTAAGTTCTGACAATACAGTGGGTGTCAGTTATTCTCTTTAGCAGACTATTCACATTGCACACTAACAGATTTCATTTGAACAGGATGCTCCAAAAAATAATGAAAGTTTCCTCAGTTTTTATAACAGACATCCAGCTGGACTGCTAAAGTCAAAATTTCAGAAGATGCAGTTCCCAATCCTCGGAGAGACGAGCCCTCACCCATCCTAGTGGCTGCCTTCTATAGTTGCTCCTGTGTTTCGTCTGTTCATATTTATGCAAGTTTGTTGCTTCATGTCCCCAACACTTAAGTATACTGTTACCTTCAATATGGAACATTTCCCTGGTTCAAGGAATATTACTTTGGACTATGGACTGTGAAACGGGCAAGACAAGGTCTTGTGCTCTCCTTCACAGCACAATGGGCACTTTTCCACCACACCAGGTACCGTACTTTCGTTACTTCCATAAAGTACTGAAAGTATGGTACTTCTTTTGTGTCGGTTTTCCACTGGCGTAAAAACTGGTACCAGCGCCAAATGACATCATCAGTGATCGCCCCTGACTGACATCATCACAAAGCGCGACGCGGTATTTCTTTCACTGAATTCAAACATGTTATTATGATCCTTCACTTTCCTGTAGTCCTACTTAAGTTTTTTGATTTTCAAGCGGCATGGTTCGGTGTTTCGCGTGTGCCCCATTTCTTCCAAGCGCCTTGCTATTACGGCAAATACTTTTTTATTTCGAGTTGTGCCATCCAAATCCCACTGGATCTGTTCATCCGACCATATGGCGATTAAAGCCTGTGTTTCCTCGTTTGTCCATCCTTCCATTTTACTTTTTTATATTTTTGTTTCTACTGCTTTTTATTTAGTTTCTTGCTGTTCGCTGTGTGTTTCAAAAGATGGCGGTTGTATTTTGTGTTTCAGCGGCAGGCTATTTGCATAACCAATCGACAGCAAATACATTTGCAAGTCCCACCCCAAAGTACCGAAGTACCAAAGAAGTATCCCAGCTTTTGGTACTGGAACTTTCGGTGCTGGTACTCGACCGGAAGTCAATGGAAAAGTGAAAGTACTGTACTTTGTGCGGTGGAAAAGCGCCCAATAACTGCTGGACCTGCATCCCTTGCTCCACCATGCGATAAATCAGAAGCTGCCTCTGCATCACTACTGAGCTAAAAAGAGGAAGTGCAGGCCCCACCTAACTTCTGTTACTACTCATAATGTAAGATCTCCAAGCAGCAAAACCAATAAGCTCTCGGCACTTACTCGGAGACAAGAGTAGCAGAAGAATCTTAGCCTCAAGTGATATAAGGAAAGTTAGCCGAGAGCTGATACACCCAACTCTGCACTGGATGGTTTTCACAAGGTCTGTGCTGAGTTAGAAGTGGTAAGAAAAGCAGAGATTGACCAGCCATTTTAATGCCACCCAGGACATACTGACCTACCGACCCTGGATGTGGTTGTATTACAAACACCAGGTTCTGATTGTGTTAGCCCCACCCATTGTAGACATTGCAGCCACTCTGCAGGCAATAGATGTGGTCAAAGTTCACCAAGAACCAATCAATCACCTTTCATTGCCACACTGGGAGATTTTACTGTAATTATCTTTCACTCACTCTTCCTTTCACCAGCTCTTTTGATTGCGGACTGTGCAACTTGACAGAATATGACACCAGAGCTGCTATATGCCAGTATCAATAAGGCATGTTGCTTTGATTAGAATTACCCCCCTTAAAATGATTAGATTTGCCTAAATTAAAAATGAAATAGACATGTATTCTTCCTGTCAGAATTTTTATTGCAAACTCATAGTCTCTCACAGTAAATTTTCAAAGTCAAAATCAATTATTTGTCAGGAAATATTTGTTGTTCGGCAACAAACTGTTCTTGAATGGTTGGAAGAAGTTGCTCTTGGAGGCTGTTTTGGTACCATTCTTTATTCATGACTGTGTTCTTAGGCAAAACTGTGAGTGAGCCCACTCCCTTGGCTGAGAAGCAGCCCCACACATGAATGGTCTCAGGATTCTTTACTGTTCGCATGACACAGGACTGATGGTAGCTATCACCTTTTCTTCTCCAGACAATCTTTTTTCTAGATGCCCCAAACAATCATAAATGGGATTCATCAGAGAAAATGACTTTACCCCAGTCCTCAGCAGTCCAATCCCTGTAACTTTTGCAGAATATCAGTCTGCCCCTGATGTTTTTCTTGGCCTAGTGTCCCTCATGATACTAGGCCATCCTCCAAAAGTCTCCTCCTCACTGAGTGTGCAGATGCACTCACACCTGCCTGCTGCCATTCCTGGGCAAACTGCACTGGTGGTGCCCCGATCCTGCAGCTGAATCAACTTTAGGAGACGATCCTGGCACTTGCTGGACTTTCTTGGGTGTCCTGAAGCCTTCTTCATAACAGTTGAACCTCTCTCCTTGAAGGTCTTCATGATCTGATAAATGGTTGATTTAAGTGTCATCTAACTAGCAGCAATATCCTTGCCTGTGGAGCCCTTTTTGTGCAAAGCAATGATGACTGCATATGTTTCCTTGCAGGTAACCATGGTTAACAGAGTAAGAGCAATGATTTCAAGCACCATCCTCCTTTTAAAGCATCCAGTCTGCTATTCTAACTCAATCAGCATGACAGAGTGATCTACAGCCTTGTCCTTGTCAACACTCTCACCTGTGTTAACGAGAGAATCACTGAAATGATGTAGGCAGGTCCTTTTGTGGCAGGGCTGAAATGCAGTGGAAATGGTTTTTTTGGGATTAAGTTCATTAGTTCATTAGAGGGACTTTGCAATTAATTGCAATTCATCTGATCACTCTTCATAACATTCTGGACATTATGCTAATTGCCATCATAAAAACTGAGGCAGCAGACTTTGTGAAAACCAATACTTGTCATTCTCAAAATTTTTGGCCACGACTATATTGTTGTCTCAGTGACTTGTAGCAATTTCTTTGCTTTTATAGTTTCCGTTATGTACCTCTAGTCAAAATTGAAGATTATAATCATGCATTTATTTACTACTGTAAATCCACTGGCTGGCACTATGTGTGCAGTTATAGAAAATTTATAAACACCCTTCAGATTCAAGAATTTCACAGTGCTGTGGTATAAACTATTATAATTTAGTCAGGTAGGTTAAACTATAATGATGTTGTAACTTGCAGTTTATGCCAAGTGATAAGTTACAAGAAATGCTACACCCCCTTTGAACAGTATTTTTTAGTTAATCATTGAGTGGATCCTGATAAAACTTAATCATCACAGAATCCCAAGGTTAAGATTTGAAACAGAAGAGCAGGCATTACAGAGAAGCTATTTCACGTAATGGACTAAATACTAAATTTCAATTATCAATTGGAATATATGAGATAATTTGATTTTTTTATCAGTGAGGTGCAGCGGAAAATGTTTCAAAAACTGCTATAAAATTCAGGAAAAGGTTCAGCTGTACCAGCTGTTCCTGCCTCATGGTACTGAGGTAACTAACAGTTGGAAGTAACTTTACAAACCATAGTGATACTAATACCATTAAAACTGTATGGTCCATTGTGCACCAGAAACACTGTCATGTAACATCACAACATGGCCCAAACCTCAAGAATCTGCAACAACATGCTACAAATATTCCAACATACCTCCCTTTTGGACACCTTAACTCGCGGTCCATATGTAACAAAAGCACCTGACTGCATGATATTATCAAACTGGACGCTTTTCTACTCAGTGCAACCATGACATCAGCCTAATGATTTTTTAAACCAAAATCTATGCTGTCTGCCTGGTTATTTTTACTTTATCTCAGAAGTTCTCAAAATTTCATCAGTTTTAGATCTTTACCCATACAATGTGTCTGCAGTGTTTGAAAGAGATCCTTCTAATACTTGGATCAAATGATTTTGAGTTGTCACATTAAAAAGAAAGTGTCTTTGCTGGTGGGGGCACATTGGTCCCAAACTCATGTTTTCCCAGTCCAGGGAATACAAGTAACAATAAAAAGTGCATTCCCTGAAAACAAGCAGCAAGTCTTACAAGTGTGACATTGTCATGGTCTTGGCGTTGCGTGACTGTGTGACCTGACAGGCTTTTGTCAGGAGGGATTCCAGAAAGAGTTCAAGGGCCCGTGCTGAAATTTAAATGATAGGAAAACTGTCCACAGTTTCTACTGTTTGCGGAGATGACTGAAAATATCACCAGTGAAAGTCCTGCTTATTCATCTCCAATCAAGTGTCTTTTTGTCCCCTAACACTGTACATGACGTACATTGATCTTTTAACTATTCATTTAGGTAGGATTACAAACATTCACTAATCACAATTAAGGGTAAATTATAGTTAATTAGGCCTAACATATACAAGAACGCCGTGTGGATTAAACACAGAGTAACAGTGGGAACATACCAAGGCCACTTTGGATTTGCAGGGATAAAATTCAATTAGCTAAGCCCCACACTACGCTACAACCATTCAGTGTGTTCAGCCCAAGGGGTAATCAACCATTGTATCATTACAGACTTTGTTATGGCCCAATATGGATAAAAAAGAGAGGCAGAATGAAATCATAACAGATTAAACTTGAAGGTGCATAAAGGATACAGATAATCACAGGAACAGCAGCTGCTACTTTTCCTATTTCTTCATCCGTCTGCATTATCTTCTTAATCCTTGCCTAAAATAGTAGAAGGATGAATAAATTAAACGTCGGTTAATATACGCACGATCGTTACTATGTAATGTATATTAGCCATTCAGCTGTGCACCAAGTGCACAACATGGATAAATCCGTAACAATCTGCAGTTTTTCCTAATTGCTTATATGGGACTCAAGTTGGGGAGAAAGGAATGTAACAGGCAGGTTTCCACATGGTGCACCTATAAAAGAACACCACCTCAACAAAGTTTCCTGTCCACACTCTCAAGCATCCTGTCCCTCCAGAAGCTTTCACTGCCAACATTCAAGGTGAGAAAGACACTATGAAGGGTCAACACGCAAGGCCCCTGGACCCGAAACCATCCCTGGCTGAATACTACAATGCTGTGCAGACCAACTAACAGAGGTCTTCACAGACATCTTCAACATATCACTTGCCCAGGAAAAAGTCCCCACCTGCTTCAAAGTAACCACATCCTACAGACAGGAAGTGGGAAGACAAACACCATAGTGCTTTGAGAATGTTCAAGGTGAACAAGACCAAAGAAATAATCACTGACTTCTGGAAAAAGAAGAAAGCACATAGTCCTTCAGACACAAATGGAGCAGAAGTGGAACGAGTGACCAGATTCAAGTTTCTTGGGGTACACATTAAAGAGGACCTAACAGGGACCACCTACACTTCTGCCGTCACAAATAAAACCCAGCAGTGCTTGTATTTCTTAAGAAAAATAACGTGAGCCAAATTCCCATACCATATTCTGGCAAAATTCTACAAAGCAGGAACAGAGAGCGGTCTGGCACAACAGCTGTACAGCAGGCGACAGCAAGGCTATGCAGCTTGTGATAAAATCTCTGAGTACCTTATCAGCACAGTGCTCCCAGACATCAGCGGTCTGAAGAGGGCACAGCGGATGTCCATGGACATCATACACCTCAGTCACCATCTCTTTGCCTCCTGCCATCTAGACCATGCTATAGGAGAATGCACTGCCGGGCCATCAGACTGGAAAACAGCTTCCCCCAAGATGTGCGTATGCTCAACTTCCACACATGACTCACGTAACATGAACGCTCCCAACTTGCACCCTACCAAACTCCTTTCATGAAACGTGTATATATGTGTATATGAATATTAATAGTTCTATTTGTGTGTATATCATGTATATTTAGTCCAAATCACACATTGTCATAGCAACTAAAAATCTTACCTAGCGACTATTTTTGGTCAGTGCCGTGGCACTCGTAAATTAAAATGACCGTAAAATCAGACGGAATTAAGTTTATCGGGACGCGCACTATCCATGAAGTGTGGGGAAATAAGTCAGAGAGCTCCTCCGCGCAAAGCGGTCAGTCCATCAGTGAATAGTTAACAATAGCCTAATAAAAAAAGAAAAAACAAAAAGTAGCCGTACACCATCCCCACCCCGACTGCTTCAACAAGACCAACAAACAGACAAAATATATACAACCTGTAAGAATACAGAGGACGGGACTAGCAACTTTTTTTTATAGCAACATTTCAGAGCCAGTAGTTACTTCTGGTGAGAGTTTTTTCCAACTCTGTTTACCAGTTTGACTCTGCAACAAGTAAAACGTGTAAGAATTAAGCAATCCGTGAATAACTCGATATAACTTGATGTGACAGGTATGAACTAATGTGGATGGTAGTTGCTGTTGCTAGTTGCTGTTGCAGTTTTGTAACGAAAAAGCCGCAGCCACGTGTTGTTGGACCGGTTCTTTGAAAAGAAAAAGTTGATTCATTAAAAAGGTGTGCGGTGCACCACTCAGACCGATCAATTTTGATAGATTTTTAAGTTTAATTTACATGCAATTGCAATACCCATATCAAATAAAAATAACTTTTAAACTTTATTTTGTATTGCTATGCAGTGGCAACACGACATGCCGACAAATGAACTTAGTAACATATACTGCATCTAGGAGACTGCGACCATAAATGCATATGATAACTAATAAACTAATGTACAGAATGGCTTATTCAGGCAACGGCGTAAATTTCATTTAACAGTAGGGGGGACAATAAATATAAAATTTCTCATGAGCAATTTTTGAAGGGGACACAAATAATACAGTCAAATTGTACTTATAAAGATATGTCCCCACAATGAAAAACTTTGCTTCTATCATTATTATTGTAGCATGGAGACTGCGTCATTATGGTTATTTTCAAAGTTTTTCTCAGGTTCAATGACAAAGCAGATTTTTCTTCAAAACTATTTATTGCATTGTTTGTTATGTTGTTTATAGTCAAGCCATCAACATACAATAAAATGACTGTTTAAATGCATAATAGATATTGATTATACAAAAAAAATACAGTGGGGTCAGTTCGGACGTAGCACAGTCAGTGCTCATTTAGAAAATGCACGGCTAAACAATATGCTAATTGTGGCCGTTAATGTTAAGTTAACATTATGCCAAGTCGTCACAAATAAAACAATGCATGGGAAACGGCTTTGGCGTGTTAGTTGCAGTGCACTATGCAACAAGCTATTGTAAACAAGCTAACGTTAACTAGATAAGTAATATTTTAATCGCTAATATAGCAGATTCGTGGAAAATTACATCGGTAATCAGCATTTTTGCCGCAACTAATTTATGAATGAGTCTGCATCAACTACATTAAAGAGAATCGCTTTATTTAAAGTGAATAAAATACCCTACTTACTGGAGTTCAACATTAATTGAGCCGCAGCCAGTGGCCACACACCTGATTCGTGTGTGTAGAGTAGGTGAGATGACCTGGTAAAGCAGGCAGTTGGCCAAACCACTGTGAGGAAGGGGAGGGGAAACTCAACTGTTTCTAAATGCATTTTTTGCGTTTGTTTTTTTTTCTACTTACAGAATTATTTTAGGTATACATACATATATTTTTCACAATAGATAGTGCGATTTTTTTTTTTATATATAATATAATATAATTTTTTTGGGGGGACAACCCTCGGATAGGGGGGGACATGTCCCCTCCGTCCCCCCCGGGATTTACGCCCATGTATTCAGGATCCCCCCACCCCCGGGGTGAGCTCTGTACTTGGTAAGGCTCCCCCTCCTATCTGATTGTGATGTAACTGGCCGCGGCCAGAAACCAACTGTTGCACTATTTGCAAATAATAAATATGCTACTATTATTAGGGGTCAAAAGCTTGTAGTGCTATGAGCCATTATTATTATTATTATTATTATTATTATTATTATTATTATTATGTGTGATGCTTGCACGAGGAGAGCCTTCTACCTCATTTCGTTGTACACGTTCACAGCGACAATAAAGTTGACTGCTCTCGTTACGATTCTGTGCTCTCACGTCACTATTTCTAGTTTTGAAATACTGACCCAAATTAAACTAGAAAGTTATTTTTGAAAAAGTAATAATGTTAAAGAAGACAGATGTCTATTCAACACGAGTAGCTGTACAAATCTGGCACCCATGTGTGTCTTTTTCGGTACAAATCCTGTTCATGATGAGCGAACCATCCAACCACCAACAAATTATCAAATATTTTTAATTAGTTATACGTAGTCTCGATATACCAAGTAACACAGGCAGTAACCCTAATACAGTGCTCACTCCGCAACTTATCGTTAAATATGTGACACTTACAAAGGTACCGATGTAAAGTTGGATTGACGCGCACTGTCAGAGCGATATAGGCCTAGCTGTCAAACAAAGGGCTCGACTCAGCTCGGCACGGCTCGGCTGCTAGGCCGCAACTCCTAGCTCAGCCTGACGCGCGCTCCTCCAAGGTCCCTTTGGGTTACTGCTGAAATGTACTCACCGGGGGGAACCTGGAGTTATATTTCTTCTTTTTGCTAGGCATGTTCCGTTTGATCGTTATATTTTTTAGAAGCTTGAACCTATATTTAATTTCGTCGTATGTGTTCACACGTTCCCACTCAGCGTTCCTGGAATCTGGAGGAGTCTGTCGGGTCCCGCCGCCTGCATTTTGCAACCAGTGTCCGTATCGGTAAAGCTTGTGCTGAACGAGACCGGGCAAGCAGTTCGTCGGCGTTTTACGGTAGACCCGAGCGCTAGGACGTACACGATTGCGCATTTAATCGAAGCTTTACGGTTTTGTGCGTGTTCGCTTATCGTATTGTGGTATGGTTTAAATAAACCGTCGTTGTATCCCTGTTTGTGGGAAGGGAAGGCTACGCACTCTTCGTGAGTATAGTTACATAAAACTCTAACATTTTCTGCTGAGTACGACTGCTTCATTTTAATTAGATATTCGGACTTTGTGTAGATATGCCTGGGGAGGCTCTTGAGTAATGTACAAGTAGTGGTTAACTACGTTGTATTTGACGTGGAGCTCGGTAACCGGACGTGGAACGTGCGTAATAGTATTCACATATTCATCCATATACTAAGGTCGTCCTGGACTGGATCGGCAATGGGCATAGTCAGGGATGGGCAGCACCAAAGACACCGTAACTACATGTTTTCAGACTGTTGTAGGAAGTATCAAAGTTCGCGTCGCCGCAATGATCTGTCGGATATTTTACTGCGGCGGTTCCGAGGTGAACCAAGTGCTTCCTGCTACTAGTCCATGTCATTATCTTGCAGATAAATAAGCAAGTGCCCGTTTTAAGATCATGTCCTAGCACACCAGTGTATGCTTTATGACTACAAAAACCCGAACTGATTAAAGACATCAATCAACAGTTGACTGTGTAAAAATATTAAATGACACCAGTAATCTTATCTTCGCAATGGTAACTGGGACATGGTGGAATATAGCTAGAACACTTATCAGTCAGCTCTATCAAATAGCATTCATTGCTATTTGGTGATTGATTATGTTTTCTGCACCCCTGCAGCACTTAACTTTTCAGCTAGGGGGAAACAGTGAGCCATCATAAAAATGGAAGAAGTCTTTGGAGAGGGTGACACAGAGAACCCAGAAGCCATGTCTGCAGATGCCCTAGCAGCAGAATCCATGGCGGCTGACATGGACCCCTGGATAGTGTTCGATGCCCGCAAGACTCCTCGGGCTGAGTTTGAGCAGTGGCTTGAATCAAACCAGCCCTCACAGGTCAGCCGCTTTGGAGAAGATAGGGAAAACCCTTGCCCTGTAGGATGGATCGCAGTGTACAGCCCAAACCACAGTCCCAGCAATCGTGATGTTACTGGGCTCCAGGAGTCCTGGGAGAAGTTGCTGGCCAGCGGGCGGCCAGTTGGCTTTCCGTCAGTAAAGGAGCTGGCTCTAAATCACGGTGTGCTCTCTGGAAAATGGCTTATGCACCTGGACACGGGCTTCAAGGTGGATCATGCTTGGGAAGGGATAGCCAGAGCTACTGTGGATGGAAAGATCTCAGCGGCCAAGGTGAGCCCACGCATGCCTAAATCTGACAGCAAGCACGTCATCTGTGTCTACAATCAGACCTTCACGGATGAGGACCAGGTCATGAGACTAGATGCGGAAATACGGGCGACAGGTGTGAAATGCCTGCTGTCCTACAAGCCTGATGTTTACACCTACCTGGGCATCTACCGCAATAACTGCTGGAACATGTGCCCCACCATTTATGAGAGCAAGTTTGACCTGGAGTGTGTTCCACGTCGCTCCCATATTGTGAACAAAGTCACAGGTTTGGTGGTCTCATGATGGCAGTCACAGACATTGGATACTATGACCTATGAAAAAATATAACAGAACTTATGTTATGTTTATAGTAAATTAGGGCTGCAGTATTTCAGTATGTAGATTTACTGATTTTTTTTTTTGGGGGGAGGTGCAGCTGCTTTCATCATTTTGTGAAGGGGTAGGGATACATTATTGTGAGTGGCAGCAGCTTGATAAGTGAATCAAAATTTGTTTGCTTTCTCTTATTCATAAAGATGTTCAAAATTTTCAAATGGTGAATTCTTTCTTTCACTTATTTTCAGTTGCTTTATGGAAAATACTTAACAGGAAAACATTAACTATGTTTTACGAGTTAGTAGTGCGGGTAGGTGAAGATTTTTATTTGGATTTTTAGGACGATAACATGCATGTTTAAATTGCCTCTTGGTATTTTACACCTTTATACATAGAGTTTTAATGCTGGCTTTCATAAAAGGGTAGGTGCCTTGCTGTGATTCGAGTATGATCCTTAAATCTCATTTTTACTGTCATCTGCCATTTACCTCCATATGACTAAAACTGAGCTGCTGATCTTAAGGAAAGGCTCACAGTTTACTGTAAGGCTGAGGTATTCAAACAGTGTGACGTGCCTCCTCTGTATGAAATGCAAAGGAATTGCGGGGGGGAAAAAAACTGGGGGAGTTGAGCCATGATATTAACAATGTGAACATTATATGCCTGTACACATTATATGATGCTAACAAATTAAAACTATTAAAATGTATAAAAGACACGCACCATATACAGAATACTTCAAACTGTTATGGCAAGTAATGTAATGAAAGTTTATGGTAGGGAAAGTAGTTCAGTTAATGCTCGCACACTGGGAGAAACCATGGAGATATTTCTACCTGCTAGTAATGATAAAGAAAATGTGATTGCAAAGCAATCTAAAACAAGTAGAAACAGAAAATATGATGATGCGTATTTGGAGTATGTTTTGTGTGTGGGGAATCAGGACTAATATCAATCGTAAAGGGGCTCTGTCAAAAAAAAGTTTGAATACCACTGCTATAAGGGCATGTTACTGAGCTGAAGGAAACTCTCTACAAAGCATTCTGTTTTCTTGGTTTGCATGACAGCAGATCAGACCTACTTATAAGATGAATCTATGATACAGGTCCAAAGCTTTGGACCTCACAAACAATTCCAATATCTCTTTTGGTAATTTCTATATGCCAAGCATGCCCAATGGTTTTCACGATACACTACACCTAACTATGTTTAGAATAAACATTGCTCAGTGCAGCATTTCCCTTTATACATACATATTTTAATATAGATTTGTAAAGTAAAAAAAAAAGTTTACCAAGTGTTGAGAAAAATAACTAAAAATCTTGAGGTAACAGCCTTTGAGTTACAATTAATAATTGCTGATATTTTTCCAGGATTACAACCTATGGTCTTAAAAAATCTGGAGTGATTAACAAAAGCCATCAGAATGAAATGCTTGTTCTTGTAAAGTGATCCACATATAGAAATACTGCATAATTATACAGCTATTAAAGAAGTCAGTATATCTACTACCTTTACTTCTGCCTCTAGAAACTGGCCAGGATATTCACTGATATGGTTGGTTAATTTCCATGTCTCAAAGCAGAGGGAAATCTCACCCTTTTGAGGTTCCCCACTATGAGATATTTAACCTCTAGCACCGACAGGCAGTCCCCAGGTTAAGAATGTCCAACTTACAGATAGCTCGTACTTATGAACAGACTGCCATGAAGCCTTTAGATTAAAAATTCAAGTTAAATGTAATGGTTCATAATAACAAACTCAATACTCACTACTCTGTGATACTCATGAAAACATTGCATAGGTTGGTAGGCTTGAGGTACAGTACTGTAGTTATTTTTCTTATCGTTAGTAGTAGTAGTATGCTCACGGACACACACTGTCTTGATCGGCTGTTGTTTCTGGGCATGGGTTGTAAGGCTGGTTGGGGGGGCTGTTCAACACCATTTAACGTTTGTTGGCCGTT